TCTATAGTAGTTTCATCATTTCACATTCCCAGTGGCCATATGCAAAAGCTGCAGACTTCTCCACATCCTCGACAACATTGGTTATTTTCCGTTGTTTTGTTATTATTATTAATATCATAGCCATGCCGGTGGGTGTGAAGTGGTATCTCACTGTGGTTTTGATTTGCATCTCCCTGATGACTCATGATGTTGAACATACTTTCATGCACTTGTTGGCCATTTGTATATCTTCGCTGGAGAAATGTCTATTGTTATTTCTATTTTTGAATATGTTTTAAATTCTCCGCAGTAAAAGAGATACAAAATATTATTTTATTTAAAACTTTAAGAAACAGGTTTTTTTCCCCCCATCAGGAAAGAGAGTGGTTTTTCCCTCCTTTTTCCCCCTGCTTGAATTCCCCTGAGGTCCTTGCATAATTCCCACCCCCACACCCCCATCCATAATTCGGTTACAAAAAAACATATTTGCTCTTCAAACAAATAAGCACAAGTTTCTTCCCCTTTGCCTCCTCAGAGGTAGGTGCGGGTGTGGGAGAACAGGGCCAGGACTTAGGGTGAACAGAGGCTGGCTGCCCCACTTCCTTTGGTCCTAGCCTGAGGCTGGCCCCCCTACCCAGCAGCCTTGTGACACCCTCATGTCCCACCTCTGCATCTTTGCTGAGAATCCCCAGGGAAGGGAGGGCCCCATCTATAGTGGAAGAAACCTTCTGGGCCTGAATCCAGCCACATCACAAGACTGGATGGCCCAGCCTCTAGACGAGCATGTCAGTGGCTTCCATGACCAATGGGAGAGGCTTCACCCGGCTCATGTTCTGCTGTGGTTGTCAGGCCAAACAGATGGCTGGGGATAAACAGGGGGTGGTGCTGGGTGGGGTGTGTGTCGGGGTGGCTTTGAATGGCCTCAGCCTCCCTCTGGATCCTAGATAAAGAGGCGAGTGAGGTGAAGGCAGTGCCTGAGGAGGGGGCTATCATTTGTGGCCTTCCAAACTGGTTTGTGATGTCTTTTCAGCAATAGAACTCTTGTTCAGACAAACGATTACAGTAGTAAGACAGAAAAAGAGAGCTGCTCCCGCTGATGAAGGGTGAGAAAGCTGGGGCCTTCCCTCCCTCCTTCCCTGACACGTGGCAGACACCTCAGGGAATGCTGGGTCTCAGGAGAACACGCCGATCCCGTTAACACACAGTCTTCAGATGAAACCATGTGGAAACAAAATACATGCTCCTCTCTAACCTGAGATCCTGGCCCCATTCCACAAAACGAGGCAGCCTCTTGAGTACCCCTCACCAGCCAAGTACTGGGTGGTGGCCAAAGGGGAGAGACAGGCCAGGGTGTGGGTGGGCCAAAGAAATCTGAGAGGGACAGGAGCTGCAGTGGCCTGGTCTTTAAGCCCGCAGAGGCTCCCTTCCAGAGAGAGAACTTGGAATGCGGTCTCAGCGTGCCTCCCTCCAGCAGAATTGCCCTGCCCCTGCTGGTTCATACCTTGCTAGTCCCCTGGGCCTGCACCTTTCCTAACCTTAGGAGAGACACCAGAAAAGGAATCTCTCCCCTTCCCTGCAGACAGAATACTTTTTTTTTTTTGAGATAGGGTCTCTCTCTGCCACCCTGGCTAGAGCTCAGTGGCACAATCACAGCTCACTGCAACCTCTACCTCCTGAGCTCAAGTGATTCTCCCACCTCAGCCTACCAAGTAGCTGGGACTACAGGCATGCACCACTATGCCTGGCTAATTTTTGTATTTTTTGTTTAGATAGGGTTTTACCATGTTGCCCAGGCTGGTCTCAAACTGCCAGCCTCAAGTGATCCTCCCACCTAGGCCTCCCAAAATGGTGAGATTACATACAGGCATGAGCTACTGTGCCCAGCCCAAAATACTTTGATATAGCTTCTTCAAGCTTAGATTCTGGTTCTCAGCACAGTCAACCTATAGGCTCCCCCTCCCCATATTCTGTGATTGTCCTGCTGGGTTAATTTCTCTAGCCAGAGGATGGGCCCATTCTTTGCTGTGGGACGGTGTGTGGGGACATTGGTAAGGAACAAATCAAGACTTGGGCAAATAACTTTATTCTGAGCTTGATTATCTCATCCACCAGCTGAGCATCATAGTACCTATTCTGCAGGACTATTTTGAGGATTAAATGAGATAATACGTATCAAAGCCCAACATCACGGGAGCTCAGTGTAGAAGCAGTTCCATACCAGAGAAAGGAATGGCTTTGTCCCTTCTGTGATGTGTCACCTCAGATGAGGCATTTCCTTCCTTTGAATTCCAGTTTTCTCATCTGTAAAATGAGCATGTTTAAAATTTTTTTACTTAAAGGAGTATGTTAATATCTACCCTTCACAGATGCTATAAGCAGTAGAGGCGATTCACAGGAAGTGGTTAATACCTGGCACAAAGAAAGTACTCAAAACAGGAGAGTAATAATTGTAATTATTACTGCTTTTACTGTTATTAACTTAGCTAGAAGGGCAGTATGGTTTTATAGTTAAACACATAAACTTTGCAGCCAAATTTCCTAGGTTTAAATTACAATTCATCACTGGAGCTGTGTGACTTTGAGTAAGTTACTTAACCTCTCTGTGCCTACAGTTTATTAACTGTACACTAATTTACCTACTTCGTGGACTTGCTGTGAAAATTGTTATTGTATGTAGAGCACTTTGCAGAGTGCCTGGCAAATAGTAAATGCCACAAACATGTTTGCTGTAATTATTAATACTAAATATCCATATTTGTATTATTATAGTCATTAACAACTTGGCTCTGTGAAAGCCTTCCTCTTGGATCCAATTAAGAGATCCACGAACCAGCAGATCCACCACCCTACAAAAGCTTTAGCCCCTCAGAAGCTGTGTGACCTTGGGCTAGTTACCTCACCTCTCTGAGCCTGCTTTTATTCATCTACAAAACGTGAATTGTAATAGTACCCATAATGATACTTCTAGATTGTTTGACGTGCATTCGTGATCAATGACCCGTGGGAAGTTTCTAGTTTCTAGTTAATTAAGCTCTAGTCTCTGTGCTCTGCCTAAATCCAGCTTCCTACTCCACCCAGCCCTCCCTCCCAGCCCTGTGGGGTGAGTGCTCGGATTCCCTCCTGCTGGGCGCGAGGGGGGGCGTCCCGCCTGCTGCCAGGCCCTATTTCTGGGGGCCCAGCGATCCCGAGGCCTTGCCAAGCTTCCCCGGGGATCAGGTTTCTGCTGACGCGGTGCCAGGCACGTCTGCTTCCAGGAACCGGCAGCCGCTTTTAGCCGCGGGCCGCACATGAAAGGGCTGCAGTCGGAAACGTGACGTTGTGTCAACAGGCGAGGCAGGTCAGCGCTGGGTGAGACCATCCCGGCAGGCCCGGCGGATCACGCCCTGTCTGAAGGCGGCCAGATCCCCAGCGTCCGCTCCCATGCCTATTGCCACCTCTCCTTGGCCCCGGAGCCAGTGCTTCACCCCCTGGCACTCACATACCCCGCGTTTTAAACAGAGATCCTCTTTGTCCGCAGTAGGCATTAGGCTGGGGTGCACGCCCCTCCCCCGTACCCCGCTCTGAGAGCACTTGGGTGCTGCTAAAACTGGGCTAGAAGCAAGGTTAAGGACGAACTGGAAGCAGAAAATCAAGTGGAGGAACAGCTGCAACTTTAGGGGCTGTCAGGGGCAGGTTCCCATATAGGGGGATTCTGGGTTGACTGTGTGTGGAACCCTCAAATCTTTTTATTTAGTTCAGGTTGCTCCAACCACTTCCTTCTTTCCCCATAGCTACTCCTCCTGCAGTGGCCTAGGAAAAAGAGAGGGTCATGCAAACAGAGTTTGGTCTTGATTTCAACCCCCAGCTCTATCACCAGGATAAGTTCCATTTGTTGGGCTTTTTCCAAAAAAGGCTAGTAACTCATAAAGCAATTGGGGTGTTTGGCTTACAGAATTTGCCATCTGCCTGCTATAGGACTTGTGAGAAGGGCTCAGAACTAGTCAAGAGCAGGCATAGAGAGGGAGGTGACAGACCACTAGCTATTGATGCCAGGCCTCCAACTCCTGGTCCCGGCTCCTTGCACAACACTGTGTGGCCTGGGGACAGTTATGCGCATTCCGCCTGCATCTAGCACAAGCAAGAGAAAATGTTCGCTTTCACCTGCTGGCCCTTCAGGAAACAGGGAAGGTGGCAGTGAAGCCAACAGTCCTCATGGTCAGGTGGAACTTCTGCCTGGCTGAGAAATCCCTAGGGGCAGCTTCCCTGCTGTGCTGCAGACCACCAGGGGGTTCTGGAAGGTTGGGATGCTTTGGGAGCTGGAGCGTGCTGAGCAAGGTGCTGGCCATCAGGACACCTCTGAGAGGGAGTATCCCACAGGAATGTTGCAAATCAAGGCAAAGGAGAGAGGCGAAATTACATGACTGGGTCATTTCCCACTCTTCCCATGGAATTTTTTTTTATTAGAGCACTTTTCGAAGGAACACCAATATTCATTCACGCACAAACACACCGGAGAGGAAGTCCAGGAAGGATGTAGAAAATAATTACGGAACGTTGCCTCCAGCAGGAATAAGACAGGACATGGCAAATCCATTAGACCTTGCTAGACTTGAAAAAGCTAGACTGCTTTGGCAAAGAGGTACTATCCCCCTCCATTGGTATTGCATAATAATCCAGTAAATCTTTTCTCAATGTGCCTCTCCCTCCAGTGAGCTCCCCAGACGCTGCGGCCCACAGTAGCATACCTTGGTTTTCTGTCAAGTTCCAAGAACCACGACAAAAGCAGGCGGGGGGAAATATGCTTTTAACTAAACTCTGGAAAGAGGGAGAGGATGATCGTGAACCCCTGGTAAGGGTTAAAAAAAAATTAAACCAATATTTACCTGCCAAGTTGACTAAGTTTCTTCTGGTTGAATATAAAGCACATAAAAAGCTGAATGAAATTACACTGAGATTAACTGGTTTGCTTCAGCCAAGAAAAAAGGGCATGGGAGTCAGCCACATCACACCAATTGAGTTATTTAAAAAAAAATCAGACCATCTTTCTCTTCCACAGGAAAAGAATTATTTTATTAAGTATCTTAAAACAACTACTTAACATTTACTCATAGATAAAAATATTTACAATTTTACACTTTCAGGAAGGCTCCAAAATATAAACACTGTACCTCTCCCTAGAGAAAAAGTTATTCTTCTCTTCAAAAACAGAAATACATTCATTTTTTTCTCACTGTGTGGATCAAGTAAATTATACAAATAAACATCTGAAACATTTTCCTTTTTAATATATTTATATAATATATATTTATAACAGCTTTACAAATAAAGGCAATGACTTTATACCGAAATAAAAACAGGAAAAGAAAAAAACACGATCAGCGATCAGGCATATAGTGCATTTTGAAAAGCTGCTGCCGGGCTAGCTGGACACGTCGGGAACACAAATACTCTGGACCAAAAATAAAACTTCTTTGAAGGAGACAGATCCTTTTTAGCAACAAGGACACTCCATATGCCGTTGGGCAAGAGGAATTAGCCTACAGAAACGATCCGGTGGTGCCAAGGCTCGGTTAGGCCTTTGAGAAGCTAAGCTTGGTTAAAAGGAGTTTTAGGACAGAACTGAAAACCAAGTCTAGTTCTGCTTGAAGGGAGCAGTGTGTTACTCAGCTTTGTGCACTTTGGGGTGCTTGCTTGGTGTGTCTACATCTCTCAGACCTTGGTTTGGTTCCCTGAACAGCAAGTACTAATGGTTAGACCTAGAAACAGGTGCCAGAAGCCCAGGGAACTCCTCCCTCCCGGGCAGCTCAGCTTGTACAAGGGGGCCATTTTCAGTTCCTTAGTAAGCTAATCACTACGAAAGCCTGAGTAGGGAACTACATTCTCCGTTTCGTCGGAGGCATGGGTGGGGAGCAGACCTGCGGAAACCTCCCCAAACCACTGCCGTGCTACGCCAGTGCCTGCTACCTCACCGTGTTAGCAGAAAGCTCGGTCTGACTGCTCTCTCCCGGTCGTCTGGTGAGTCACGTCGACAATAAAGGGATAAGGGTGGGGTCCTAACAGCTGGTTGGAAGCTGTGCTCTGGAAAGCCCTCTTTTGAAAGTACCTTTTGCTCAAAGCCACAGACCCAGCTCCCAAACTGAAGAGTGACTCAGAGACTAAGACTTTGAAGCTTTTGAAAACCCAGCTGATGTGTATCAAAGGGGGCTATTCTCTGGGTGGAGAAAAGCCCAAAAGTCTGCTACAATCCTCCCCTCGAAAGTCTCCTGATGTCAAGCAATCCTTCGTGACTTTCCTATGCCAAAAGGAGCTTTATTGTCCTATACCAACACGCTGGCACACGTGCACACTCGCACGCGTGTGGAGACACACACACGCGCGTGCGCACACACACACACACACACACACACCCTGAATCTTCTCTCCATGCCTCAGATGATCTCAGTATACACAATGGAACAATCTTGCAGCATTCACAAAAACTTTTTTGTTTTTTAGGAAGTAGTGAGGAAGGAAAGCAAAGCAGCTGGATCCCCTAGAGAGTTCAGTCTTTGGTTTCTAAGTTTAAAGGGGGGATCTGCTTCAGAGCTTGGAGCAAGACAGAAGAGTCGACGGACGGATGAGCTGGCAAGGGAGAAGGGAGTCTCTGGGGCATGAGCAAGGGAGCCGAGATCTTGTCTGGGTTCATGAAGCTAGAGAGGGCTGCGGCAGAGGCGTTGAGGCCTGGGTATAGCACTGGCACCGAGGTGGGATACCAGCACTTCTCCAGCATGGGCAGGTAGGCAGTCGCTGAAGGTGGGATCAAGTAGAAGGGCAGGCAGAAAGGAGGCTGGTGTGGGTGTGGGCCCAGGAACGGGGAGCTGATCAGGTCACTGCTAGTGAAATGGCCTTCATCATCTGAAAGCTGCATCCGGTTCTTTTTTGTGGGTGGTTCTTCGGATTCTTGCTTAATTGCGCTGACTCTTTCTCCCATGGTGAACCTGCGTCCGTGGTCGCTTTTGAAGCACGGCTGCTCACTGCGCAAGTCGCCCTTCTCAGATTCTCCTCCATAGCCACTGTCTGTGTCCGTGTCACTGCCGCTCTGCTCCCCACTTGAGTGAGCAAAAGTCCGCTGGATGACTGGGACACAGTTTTTCCCAGGACCTTCCGAGCCTTTGGCCAGAGAGCTGGGTTTCTCCTTGAAGTCCATCACTTTGGGAGCTGGGTCTGATGGCTTCCTGGAGGTACCACCCTGAAGCAGCTCTGAGACCACGCGGTGGAGGTGGGTAACAAGCTGAGAAGACTTCAGGTCCCGAGTGTTCTCATGCTTGGCCAGATACTGAAGCACCTCCCGGGCACATGTCTGGAAGCCTGAGCAGAACATCTCTTGACCTGTTTCGACATTTCTCCCTGACAGCTCACCTGGGGAAACACATATCCGAAGAAAGACATTTCAGAAGGCCCTGTGATACACCTGGATACCTATGCCCCGAACACCAGGGGGCTTTCGTTTTCATTAAAAAAAAAAAATTGCATTACTGACCTGTGTTCTTAACTCCAAAAATAATATGCTCAGAGAAGAATTACACTGGAAAGTATAAAGAATTAAAATAATCCATATGCTAACACTCAGATAAAATATGATTTTTTAGTGGCTGCATAATACTTCATCATGGAAATGGACTGTAATTAATAGAGATGGGCTGTTTTCCCTGTTTTGGAATGTATAGGTTGTTTGTGAGTTTTCCATGTAAGTGAGGCAGCAGAGAACCTTCTGATATAAACCTAAGAGTCAATGCATATAACATTGCACCATGGCAAAATGGGCAGAGGCCGGACAGTCACAAAATGAGGAAAAGAATGAAGGTACAATATCACCTAAAGTAAACTTATTTTTAATGACTTGTAAAAGTTGCAGTCATGCTGTGATCTTTAATTAGGCTCTCTATTTCTATCTTTTTTCCACATATTCTATCCATGATCCTCAAGACATTAGGTATGACCATCTTCCTATTTTTAATGAGGAAACTGGCAGAAGCATTTGCTGGGATTTTGCAATTTTCATATGAGACTTTGAGAAGAAGAGAGAAAAGAATGAAATGAGGGAGTGGGTAGAATAATTCCCCCCAGTCTGTACAGTATTATTTGAAAAGAGTCAGACTAGAAGGTTAGAAGGTGACTCTGATTCTCTGGAAGTCAGTAGAAACGAATGATGAAACTTCAGTGGTTTCGCTAGATTGTGCAATTCACCAAGATACCTAGTGGCTATTCAGGGAACCACATGAAATGCAGGAAAAACTCCTGCTGTATCCTGCCAGCATCACACCACACACCAAGTAACAAGGAAGCAAAGACCCAGGAAAACACTGGGGCATACCCACGATCTCTTCTCCAATGACAGAGGGCTAAGAAGACCAACTGTAAAACACCCACAATGCAAATTATAGGTGCCTTGGCATTTTAAAAGGGAATAGGGAAATCTCCCAGAACCAAGAGATTCTCAAGCCAAAATGCCACAGGAATATCTTATCATTTTACTAATATGTATTCATGCCACGTGGCACACAGCATTTCAAATGAAAAGTCTGACCTTTTAGGAAAGATAAAACTGCATCTCCCCCAATGAACGTGCATAAGCAATTTGTTGCAGTCATGTTTCTTACATCAGATGTTGAGCCCACGGGCTCTCTATTTGTGCTCAAACTCATAAAGAGAAGATAGTCAGAATCAGCACTCACCAGCTTGTAAGCCGCTCTGCAGGGCAATGATTTTCTGCTGCTGCTGATCAATTAGGTTTGTTAGTGCTTTCACATGCTTCAAGGTAAGTTCAAGAACCACTGCTTTTTCCAGGTGACCCAAAGTCTGGAAGGAAAAGAGCCTTAGTCAGCTGTGAGGTCAGAGAAGTCCCACCTTTGGGACATTTATTAGCAATGAGAAATGTCTCTAATAGAAACAAAAAAGTGGAATAGTCTTTCCCAGTTGGCTGTTTTAAGTTTGTAGATCATGCTTTTAAAAAGACAGATAAACACACTCAAGTCTTTAATTCTTTAATTAAAGAATTTAAAAAACGGTGTCATCTATCTTTGGAGGCATTTTGGTAGCTGCAACTACCTCAGGAAAATGCTTTGACAGATAAATTTCTCCAGCAGCCTCTGCTGACCTTAACCCAGGGGAATCCAGAGATAACATTTCCCCGCAGTGGTGTCAACTCAGAGAGAGACCTCTATTATGTCTGGCAGCCAAGAGGCTTCCCCTACTTCTTTCCTTACACCCTTTCAGAACTTCCAGCTCATCCAGGCTTTTTTGCTCCTCCCGAAATACAATTTTTTTTTTCCATTTCCCCAACCAAAGGCTGCCAAGTAGCCGAGGGCTACTGTCAAGAAAGGACAGCCGTAAAAAAGGACACGCCAAAGCAAGTCCCCTTATTTAACAACAAGAAAAAAAGTGGGGGGGAGTGGTGGAGGGGAAGGGGTAAATAAAACGTGCGTTTTGCTTGGCGTAGTCTTTTAACTGAGAAAAACTAGAGAATCCTGAAAATCACCAGAAGTTAAACTCTTGAAAAGGAAGGCCAGCTGGTGTTGGAGCCAACTTGGAGAGGTCCGAGAGGTTCTCGCTTCATTTGCATGAATCTACCAGAAAACGCCAGGACTGGGGAGGGGGGAACCCTACCACAGAGCCACCCGCTAGCTCCGATCCGCCCGTCTGGTCTGCAGTTCCTTGCGGAACCTGCAGGCGGCGAGTGACCCCCGCCCGCCCTCTGGGCAAAGGAGCTGGGTTGGAAACGGGCCAGCTTCTCACTTACTGTAAGTTTGAGATGTTCGGGTAGGAGATCCTTCAGCTGGGCGATGCACTCGTTAATCCGGTCACGTCTCTTTTTCTCGATGAGCCGGTGCGGCAATTTGTAGGTCTCCTGCAAGACGCACGGGGAGGCGGTGGGCGCCTGGGGAAGGGGATAAGAAGGCTATCCTTCTCCCAGCCCCGCAGCAAGACTCCGTCAGAGGAGCAGAGTAGCACCCAGAACCATCATCTGCCCTTTCTTTTCCAAGTCACTCAGTAGAGGTACCGAGCCCACACCCTGCATCCCCTCGCCAGTCTCAAAGCGAGAAAACTTTTCTTGGAAACTCAGCGCGCGCGAGGGGCTGAGAGCGGGGTTCCCAGGGGTGCACTTCCTTACCTTGCTGTCCTCGCTCCGCTTTATTCCCCGCCTTGACTTATACACTTGGTACATGTGAGCAAAATCCATCCTGCAGGAAGAGAGACCAGGAAGGGTCGTGACTGCGTGCGCAAGGCTGCAGGTGTCCGGCCGGGCAAGAACCCCCCCGCGGTGTGCCCGGAGCTGCTCCAAGTTGAGAGTGGCTCATAACATGGGGCTGGAGCTGAGGCTTGAAGGGACCAAGGAGTGCCAACTTACCCTGGTAGGTCTCCGTGCTCCAGTCCCGGTGCTTTGGGCAGGCAGGCTGGGGGTGGTTGCGCGCTGGGGATCCGCTCCATTGCGCGACGAGCCGGGGCCACTGCGCGCTCTTGTCTGCACTAGTGGAGCGTCTCAGATGAGGACTGTCCTGGAGCGGGCTTCGGGGGTGTCTCCGCAGATGTTCCTTTGAGTCTGAGATCTTTGAAATCCCCTGGGCTGCTGGAATCTTCGGCTTTGAGATGGAGCTTCAGTTGGGGGCGTGCATAGCCCGGTGTCCCCGCGGCCTCTGGCTCCAACTCAGCGCACAGACTGGCGGTGTGTGCTCCCTGCGCGGTCTGCGCCGTGCGAGCCCAGTGAATGAGAAGTGGAGCGGGCGGGGAGGCGGGAGGGACCGGGGGGGGGGAGGTTAGGGCGGAGTAGGGGGGTTGGGGGGGACAAGCCGAGGAGTAATGGAGAGGCTGCGGGCTGGGTTAAATGGGAGCGAGTGGGTGGGTTGGAGCTACGTGTTCTACCCTGTGACTCCAGGCACGTCTGGCCACTGCCGGGGAGGGAAGGAGCGACCTGCCCGCCCTCCCCCGGCTTCATCACATGAGTCTCACGTGTTGGACAACGCTCCGGCGGCTGCTAGGGAGCCCCCACCCCCAGCCCCAGCCCCCAGGTGTCTGCGGCTGCGGCCGTCTTTCCCCGAAGAGGAGGTGGCAGCGCGACCTGGGTCCTGCCCAGCTGGGTGGGGGGCGCGGAAGCTGGAAGGCACCGGGGAATTGGGGGAGGGGGAGAGTTGGTAACGTGGGCGAACCTGCCCCAGGGAAATGAAGTAAGTTCCCGTCTCCTGGGAGGGAACGGGGGAGGACGGATCCGCCCGCGTCTGACTCAAGCCGGGAGAGGAATATCCCCTTGCTAGCTCCAGCCCAGCCCTCTTCCTCCTCCCCCGCCCGGCCCGCTTGGAGGAAGCGGCGCGCAGCGGAGGGAGTCGCCCGGCCCCCCAGCCTTACCCAGAGGCTGGGGTTTCTTTCCGTCCTGGCTTCCCTGCCCCCACCGCTCACCCTTGTGTCCAGGAATTGCCCGCCTTGGGGAGGGACTGAGGGGCGGGGCGGATGTCACCCCATGGGAAGCGGGCCGGCAGCCAAGCGAAGGGGCAGCTGAGGCTGCCGCCGAGCACGCCGCGCGCACCTGACCGCCAAGGGTGTGAGCCGAGGACCCCTCGCTCCCCTGTAGCTCCGCTCCCAGGCACAGCCTGCGGGCAGGCGGGCACCCGGTTGCGCAGCCCCCTGGGTGCCCCAATGTCACCCCCTTCCTCCAGGCCAGTCAAGCACAGAAAGATACCGGGCGCGGTGCCCGGCGTTCCCTCCCTCCTCTGCCCCCTCCAGAGCAGAGGCGCCCGGGTCGCCTCCCCTCCGGCTGCAGCGTTACACAACCGCGGCGGCGGCGCCTGCCCTGCAGCAGCGCAGGGCGTGACGCTTCACGTGGCCGGGGCTCAGGCCGCAGCACGGCGGACCGCGAGCCCCTCTGCGTGGACCCGGGGACTGAGACCCCGGGGACGTGGTGCGCCAGCCGGGATCCGCCTTCTCCCTGTCTGTTAGGAACTTCGGCGGCGCTGTTTGCGGTCAGCACCCGGGGCAGGAGGGATGAGAGAGACAAGAAAAAAAAACACTGGTTACGGTGAAATCTTAGGATTCATGCAGTCGACACATGTTTAATGAGCCCCTTACTCTGTGCTAGGCGCTGTGCTTATGTGTGAATCCTACATGGACCTTGCCCTTGAATTTATCCTCTAGGAAGAGGATAAATTGAGCAATGAAGCAAAGGCAGTCCTGGGAAAATTGTATCGAGGCCACTGGCTGACAGAGGGGAAAAAAAACAAACAACTTGTGCTGCTTTGTGTTTTGTTTTTAATTTGATGCTAACCAAGATGCCTGGGTAGAGAAGTGTGGAGAAGCCAACCTAAAGCCCCGAGCTCGGGGCGGAAAGACCTCCTCCAGCGGCCCAGATCTTTGCCATCTCACTTAGGCTGCCGGAGGGCCCCACCCACCTCCCCCGGAAAAGTCCGGGCTCTGTGACCTTCTAACTCAGCCGGGAGCAGGGAAAACAGCTGAAACTCCAATCCCTCGGCGTGAGCAGCCCCGATACAGTCAGAGGAGGGAGCGAGTGGAAACTCATGACTAAAATAAGGCCTGGCTGGGGATTTCACTGACCTCTGTGCTCCCCTGCCCTGCAAGTTCGGGGAGTTGAGAGATGACTGTAAGCCTTTCCCAGTGCGCTTCGGGTCAGTCACCCCGCTGCTGAGTGACCTGGCTGTGGGAAGGATTGAAAAAAATGGGGCCACAGCTGAGACTGGGTGAAGAGTAGCCTCGGGTGCAGTTGGGGGATCAGTCTTAACTGGCAATGTCCTCGATGACCTAGAGAACTGGGATTCACAAGTTGACCAAACTGGGAGTGCATTTCCTTCAGGTCGCCTTGGAGAGCTCCCACTTCCTGTTTATATTTCACAAGCGTCAAACTCATTAGCAAGTGTGAGAAATGCCTCTTTTCTAACTGCTAACTGGCATGACCTCACTTCGGGGCTTAGAGATCCCTCCCTGCCAGAATGTACTTTTGCTGGCCAAAGGCGGGGCCCGGAGTCCGCCCTGGAAACGTGCTTTCAGTCTTGGGCGACTTGCTTCATTGTGTGACTTTAGTAAGGAGGAAGGCTTGTCCTGTCTGCGTCAAAACCACGGTTCCACCAGGAAATAAGCACTGGGAGAGGAAAGATATATAGCCCCTCGGCTGTCACTTCCCACCCCATGGCAGGAGTGAGCCCAAACGTTGCAGCTTTTGGCTCATGGCTCATGACAATATCATTCTTAAACTTCTTTGAGTTTATCAATGTATTTTGCCCTTACCTGCCGTGCAACTTTAAATAACAAAATGTTTGCATTTCCTACTTTTTATTTGTTCCAAATGTACTCTCAAACTTCAATAACTGTTCCCATCCTACCAGAGTTCCACTGTATCAGGATTTTAAAAATATCTATTCTCTTCATAGCTTACAGCTTTTAAAAAAATAATAGTTTGAACAAAACATCTATCTTTCCATCCTGGAGAATGTTACTATTTCAGACTGTCATCTTTTGTAGTTATTAAACACCTTTCATATGCTAATTTCTTTGCTGCTCACTACCATGGTATAGGCAGGTACTAGTATTAACTCATATTTATTGTTATTCAATGCCAGACCCTGAAAAAGGCCCTAGGGACGTATGACATATTCTTTCTGGAAAATTGAGGCTCAAGGAGGCTAAATAACCTGCCTCAGTTTCTATAGTCTGGGATTCAATCTGACAAAAGCCCCAGGTCTGTTGTACTCCAAAGCTTGTGCTCTTAATCACTTTGCTTATGGTTGCCTGGTAGGGTTGTATGGGTTGTGCACTGCTCAACCATACAACGTGAATAGGGGAAGCTATTCACGTTGCAGTCTGTGTGAGAGCACCCTCTGGAGTTGTGCAATGTGGCACTGAGCAGATGCACTGGGTAATCCTGCCATTTTCTAGCCATCCCTGCTGCTTTGTCTCTTCTAAGTGGGGAGAGAACATAATTTTGTGCAATAAAAACAGGGGATCTTTCTTTTCTTTCTTTCCTATTGGGACAGCATCTTGGTGTCCTTACACTGTGCGTTGGATCAGTCTATGCTGTTACTACGTATAGAAACTCCTGAGCCCTTCCTGTGCAAGAATTTAGAGCCCCAAGCTCTCCTATACATCCCCACAACTTGCTTGATCAGATATCACTTTTTATCTGCTTATGAAGCCTCAAAAATTTTTATCTCAGCTCACAGTAAGAGATACATTTTACGTCATGTCTCAATACACACACGTGTGTGTTTATATACATCTTAAGTAAATTTAAGCATAGGGCAGCCAAGGCTTGGTTGGGCTATAGCAATAAGTGACCACTACCCTCTCTGTTGTACTCCTAACCATTGCTCTCTTAAAAAATAAATAAGCCACTTAGAAGTCAATCCAATGCATTTCAGGCAAACATTTCACAGAACAATACTTCCCTCTTGTTATATGCATTCTGAGATATATGTATATTTAAGACGGAGTCTTGCTTTGTCACCAGACTGGAGTGCACTGGCACAATCTCGGCTCACTGCAACCTCTACCTCCACCTCCCGGCTTCAAGTGATTCTCCTGCCTCAGCCTCCTTGGTATCTGGGACTACAGGTGTGCTTCACCAGGCCTGGCTAATTTTTGTATTTTTAGTAGAGATGGGGTTACACTATGTTGGCGAGGATGAGCTCGATCTCTTGACCTCATTATCTACCTGTCTCAGACTCCCAAAGTGATGGGATTATGGGCATGAGCCACCATGCCTGGCTACATTCTGATATTTTCTAGTTTAGTCTCATCTGTTTTATTAAAAGAAAAATATTTAGGTATTGACATACTAAGTTGATTTCACCACCCGCCAATGGAGCATGACCTGAAATTTAAAAACTTGCCTTACTATAGGGATAGTGTTGTAATTTTGGCTTGGCCTCACCAGAAAGACATCAGTGGCATCTGCACACTTGAAGATCTTCCAAATCAGTTAAAAATGTTAAATAAAACTGCTGATCCTGGATGGATTTAATGGTATAGAGGTTTGCATTCAGGAAGACATCTGTTAATTCCTACCTTTGTTCCCTGTTTATAACTACCCTTCTCATTTTCGAAAAATAACAGCATTTAATCTTTAATTGAGAGGTAAACATAAAATACAGATCTTAAATATTTGGTGCATGATTTTTTGTAAATGTATATCTATGTAGCCACTCCCACACAAGATACAAAACACTTTTGTCATCCCAGAAAGCTTCTTTATATCTTTTTCCAACCAATCCCCCAACCCGCACAATTATTTTCTGATTTCTATCACTATAGGTTAACTTTGTCCATTATTGAGATTCAGATAAATGAATGTACTCTTTGAAGTAAAGTTTCTGTCAATATAGTTTTGAGATCCTGCCACATTGTCACATGCATTTGAATTTTGTATTTCAATTGTGCATATATAGCATAGTTTATCTAGTTCCCTGTTAATGGATATTCGGGTTGCTTCCAGTATGGGGCCGCTATGTAAGTCTTTTTGAGAACATATGTTCTCATTTATGCTGCATAAATATTAGGAGTAGAATTCTTGGGTCACAGATTAAATATATGTGAACTTTATTATAAATTGCCAAACAGATCGCCAAAGAAGTGTTACCCTTTTACAAAACCACTAACAATATGTGAGAATTCCAGCTCCTCCATATCCTCACCAACATTTAAGATAGACAGATTTTTAAATTTTAGCCATTCTAATGGGTATGAAATAATATTATCATTTTAATTCGCATTTCCCTGATAACTAATGAAGTTGAGCACTTTTTCATGTGCTTATTGGTCATTGGTAAATCTTATTTTCTGAAGTATTTGTCCACATCTTTTGCTTAGTTTTTAAATTGGATTACTTACCTTTTTAATTGTTGTATATAGAAATACAATCCCATTTTCTATATTGACCTTGTATCCTGCAACCTTGCCATTATATGGCTTGACTTTTAGGAGTTTTTTATATATTCTGATTACAAGTGCTTTGTCAGAAACATGATTTTATTAATGATGTCCTTTATGAATAGAATTTTTAGTTTTGATAGAATCCAACTTATTGATATTTTCTTTTATAGCTTGTGTGTGGGGGTCTTTATCACAAAATTTTGCATGACTCAAGTCAGAAAGATATTATATTTTTCTTTAGAAACTTTACAGATAAGATTTTTCTATTTAGGTCTGTGCTCTATCTCGAAATAATTTTTGTTTATGGAGTGAAAGAAGAGTCAAGATTTAGTTTTATGTTTCAGCAATACTTAAAGAGACTTTCCCTTCACAATTGGATTGACTTCACCACTTCGTTGAAAACCAATCAACCATATATGTGTGGTTCTATTTATATACTTTCTATTTTGTTACATTGGTCTGTTTGTCTAGGTTTCGCCAATACCACACTTTCTTGATTACTGGAGCTTTATAAAAATCTTGAAATTGGATCGTGTAAATCCTCCAACTTTGTTCTTTTTAAAGACTGTTTTGGCCAGGCATGGCGGCTCACATCTGTAATACCAGCTCTTTGGGAGGTGGAGATGGGCAGATCACATGAGGTCAGGAGTTCAAGACCAGCCTGGCCAATATGGTGAAACCCTGTCTCTACTAAAAATACAAAAATTAGCCAGGAATGGTGGCGGGTGCCTGTAATCCCAGCTACTCAGAAGACTGAGGCAGGAGAATCGCTTGAACCCAGGAGGTGAAGGCTGCAGTGAGCCAAGATGGTGCCACTGCACTCCAGCCTCAGTGACAGAGTGAGACCATCTCAAAAAAAAAAAAGATTGTTTTGAATATTTTAGGTTCTTTGCATTATCATATACATTTTAGATTTTAGATTCAGCTTTTTTCTTTCTTCCAAGAAGCTTGCTAGGATTTCTATAGGAATTGCATCAAATAGATGAGCTTAGGAAAAATGAACATTTAAACAATATTATGCCTTCTTATCGATGAATATGGTATAGCTTTCCATTTTTTTATGTCTTCTTCATTTCTTTCAGCAATATTTGCAGTTTTCTGTGGAGAGGTCTTACACATCTTTTGTTGGATCTGTTCCTAGCTATTTCATATTTTTTGATATGTCTGTAAATTTAAAAACATTTCCCAATTGTTTATTTAGTGTATATAGAAATACAGTCAATTTCTGAATCTACAACCTTGCTAAATTCATTTATTAGTTTGAGTAGTATTTTTGGTAGGGTTCTTCACATACATAGACATGTTGCTTGTGAATAATGACAGCTTTACTTCTTTTCTGATCTTTCAAAAAATTTTTTGCCTTAATACTTTATCAGGATAATGCTGGTCTCATAAAACAAATCTGGAAGTATTACTTCTTTTCTGAAGAAGCTTGTGTAGGGTTGGTACTATTTCTTCCTTAAATGGAGAAGCCACCTGAGCCTGAAGTTTTCTTTGGGGGAAAGTATTTTTTACTATGAATATAATTTTATTTACAGGTATTAGGCTATGTAGTTTTTAATTTCTTCATTCATTAGTTTTATTCATTTGTGCTTTTCAAGAAATTTGTCTGTTTCCCTTAAGTTTGACAATATATGGATAGAATGTTTTATCTAT